CCTATGGCTTCCTGACCCAGTAAAGAACAGATGGGAAAAGACAAAAAAAAAAAAAAAAGAGAAGGGAAAAAAAAAGCATCCTTATTCCAGTACTGATCATTTTGGTCATTTGGTCACTGAGTCCTAACTGCTCATTTCAGTTTCAAAAATAAGAAAAAGATCTGTCAAGTGAGACAAAATAAACTGGATTCTCTCTTTCTTTGAGAAATGGATTCATTTTCTTTGGCTAATTCTTATTCAAAGATGGCAGATATTAGTTGTGTACTTAAAACCTGGAGCAGCAGGCCTGCTAACTCCTAGCATGAACATTGCTATGTGTAGAAAAGTTTCTTTCTAAATACCTCTCTTCTACTCCTGTAGGCTTTACTGACTTTTTTGTTCTTTCTTTTAACCCAGCCCCATTAGAAAAAGAAGATATGAATTGTCCTGCTATATTTTGCTACTCATATGTACCTGAGTAGGGACATGTGTCTATGTGAGAAGCTGGACTACAGTCTCAGCTGAGAGAAGACAACTAATGCTTTGCCAGAAGTGACTCCAAAGGCTCCAGGTTTCACGTTGCCAAACTGTAGTGATTGATAGGTCAGTGTATAACCTGAATCTAGCCTTATTCTGCAAAGTACAAATCAATGACACCACCGTAAAAGAGGTACGCTGGGATCCAGCGCCATTGGGAGGTCTTTGTGCCTCTCCACCCGCTCCAGGCAGAGCCTAGATGCCCCGACTAGACTGCATGTCAACTTTTCAGACAGCTCAGTTTAAGCAAGGTGAAATTCATCCTATGCGACAAAACGATGAGTGGTTATATAAAATGAAAGGACAAGTTCTCTTTTCTGAACCTGAAACTAGTGTAATTTTCCTTATATAACCTAAGTACACACCGAAGAAAAGGTGTCTGTATATCATGTGTGCTTGTATAAGCACTCCTGTGGTTATTTACCTACATCTAGGCAGGGTGTCAATATCTAAAAGAAGTTGAGCCAATTTCATTGCTGACATAAGCAGTGAAATGACTACTGATTTATATCAAGAACGTGAACGGTTTGTGGATTTGCGTACAGTGCCAACTAACAAGTTATAGCCCTGTGACCTCACAGTGCTTGTTGATTTAAGGACATTTTTGTCAAAGTTCCTCTGTCAGTCTCGAGTTGTTTTGGCTATTGAATCTTACTTGTGTACATTTTGGATTTAAAATACTAGACTTCCATAATTTAAAACAAACGTTAAAGAGTGCAAAGTTAATATGTATGCGCAGATCTCAAGCTGCATCTCAAAATTTCAAAATGTCTTGATATAACACTTGCTTACACTGTTTGGGATGTTTTTCAATGAAAGAAAAACAGACCCCCCCACTGGCTTTCTGACATTTTGTTTTATTTTGGTTTATTTTGTCTTATTTTATTTTATTATTGTATTATTTTATTTTAATTTTTGCCATATATTGCAATTCCCAGAAGGTCCACTAGAGGAATAAATTCTGTCTTTGAAGAGAAATGAAAATGACTGACAGTATAATAAATTCAAGCCAGTATATGAGGTCACATCAAAACAAGAAAATTTAAGTTGCAGAACCCCTCCTTTGGGAGCAAAGTTACTGTTTATTAGGCATTAACAGCATTCACAGTCTATCCACAACAGCAAACTGCTGCAAAGTTTAAAATAAACTGTTAGAAAGACTACCCAAACAAAGGTTATATGTTAAACTTGGAAAAGTGAGATTATAAATGAATGCCACGCTTTTTCTTATCTAAAAGAAACACTCATAACCACATTAACTAAAAAATGCGAGTTTGTTTCTGTATTATCCTTTCTCAGATCTCTTCAGAGGGAAGGGTATCGCGCAGCGGTAACCACTGCCGAATGGTGCTTTGTGATTAGAAGCCAGTGCCTGGACTGCCGGCGTGGCGGTCCTGACCACAAGCGACGGGCATCTACGCTGGGGTGGGATGGGAATGGCTTTTTGTACAGCACCGCTTCTATCTATCTGGGACAGTCACTGTGGGGATTGCAGGATTAAATTGCTTGGGAGGCTGCTCTTAAGTTAAAACATCTCTTAACATCCTGGAGGGCTGAAAAAACCCCGTGCTCTTGAGAAGATTCATGCCCAGAATGCCAGGGATAGAGAGCAGAGAAAATGCTTAAAAATCCTCAGAAGCCATGTTAATATCTGAACTGGAAAACGGTCTTTGCCAGTGGAAAACAGTGGAAAACTGTGCTGTAGAGCTCCCAGCATCAAAGGTCTGGGGCAACAGAGTAGTTTTGCTTACTTCTGCTCGCAAAGACCGAGCAGCTCGCTCGTCACAGCTGCCACTGTGGCCCCTTCTTCAGCAGAGGCACTGGTGGAGAAGAGAACAGGCCACCCGGACCGGTTGGTGAGGATGCCCGTGTCCTCTGCTGGGTCAGCTCCTGGGTTAGGTTCTTCCCTGCTCTGCAATATTTTCTGGACTTGACACAGAGTCCTCCCACAGGCACCCTTTTGCCCAAAGTCTGCCTCGTCTTGCGAGTGACAATCTCTCTCTGCCTGCTTCCAGTCAGCTCTTGGCACATTGTCCCCACACTAAAATCAGACCCTTCCCCACTCTCTTCCAGAACCATACTAGTCTCTTCTCTCCCGTTCCTGCGTGGATCTCCAAGCCTTCAGCTTGGTTCCTCCTACAAGTCTGTTTTTAATTTCTTGTTTTGTCATTCCTGTTCCTCTGACCTATGAAGAGACACATCTTTTGCCAGTTCTCTGCGGAAAGCCTTGATAAAATGGTTTTCCCATTCAGATTTCCTACTTACTGTTCCCAGGTGCTTCCATTTGAATAGACAACAGCTAAATGACTAACAGTATTGCTGGTCCAAGAAAAATATGAGTACAGCGAGTTCAAGGTGGATTCATTGCGCACAGAAGCAACATTTCTCATGACAACCTTCAGAAAATTGAGCAGAATACAGAATTTGTTCAGATATCAAACCTAGAGATGTAAGCAGGTCCACCTGAGTCATGAAAACTTTTGTATTTAGTGGCACAATAGATCCAAACTGTCTCAAAGTGACTCTTCAGCTGAAAATCCTTGCCTGTGACCAAGGTTCAGCTATTACAATTCATTGTTAGGAGTACTCCCACAAAGTCTCTTCTGCCACTCAGCAGAAAAGTCTGAACGCTAGTGTGCATATTAACAAATTCTCAGTGGAGATGAAGTTGTTTTAATCTGAGGCTGTTGAATTTTTTTTTAGTCTTTACCACAGATTCATCTTCTGCCATTAACCACTACTTAAAAAGTTTTATCATCATGCTTTGTGCTTTTGTGAAGAGCTTTCTTTGTCAGCATCCTTGAAACTGACATCCTAACTATTGTAAGCTTATATGCTGTTCACAGAGGGAAACATATACATATATTTATGTTACAGAGATGTTAGATAAGCTCAGAAGCTATTGTAAACTCATGAAACATTTATACATACACAGTAAATATTCTCTATATGTTTATCTTTGCTATGTATGTTTATCTTTGCTATGTATGTTTACATGCATGTGTGTGTACATATAAAGGCATCAACATAAAGACTAAGCCTGCTGTATTATGGTCTGAGCTGGTCTGAAGTCTGGACTGGTAGTGAAGAGCATGTTACTTACATACTTTTTGTTCTTTGGCATTTTTGGGGAGCTCCTCAGGGCATGCAGGCCTACCCAGTTATGTGAGCACCAGAGTGTGCATACCATTGCTTTTCAGGATGGAGGTTGTGTTTCTTGCTTTGTTTTGTTTGCTCAGTGACAGTATCCTAGCCCATGATGAGATTTTTATTGCCATAGCAATCCAGATCTGTGATACTACTTATGGGTGAACTTGTCCCCCTAGGAATGGTTGGCTGCCTCTCCAAAGGTAGGGCAGGTACAAGATAACAAGTGTCCCCCCTGCTCCTTACCTGAGTGTAAGAGCTGTGATTATCCTTTGCGCAAGGTGGCAGCAAAAGAAAGCTCTTCAAACGCGTTCCTCTCTTCCCCACACACCTCCTATTAAGGAGAGTAACTGCCTCAACTTTTATTAATTGTGTTTTAAAAACCACCTCCTATTGCTAGTGGTTAATGTATACGTGAACGATACATAGAGTTGCTGGTAACTTTTACTTCAGGAACACTGTCACACTTCTCTCTCCATTTTTTACCAATATTCCCCAGGGGAAAGGCTAGAAAACTGCACACAGAGAAAGGAAAACCATGAGAGAAATCTCCCTTAAATCACTGATTTTCCCTTTTAAAATAGAACTTTTTTCAATACAAACACAACTGCTTTGGGAGAAAGGATCAAGGCCAAGACAAAACAAAACAAAGAAAAAAGAATGTGTAAGCTTGATGCTTAATTAAGACATCTTCATGCTAGCTGACAAATTCTGATGGATGTGCCAGCAGTACACCATGTTTCAGCATAATAATTTTGTATTTCTGTAGGAATAAAGTAGCCTGAAGAATCTGGCTTTCAAAATCCTACCTAGCAATTACCCTAGACGAAAAGCAAAGAAAAACACGGAGTGCATATCAGCAGTTCTTCTGACCCCGTTAAGCATCTGCTGTTTGGATATTTTTAGAGGTGTTTTTGTTTGTTTGCTCTTTTGGGGAATAGAGTTACTGTCCTCTCCTGGAGCCCAATGTGTGCGGAATGGAATGTTTTACTCCCAGTGTTACAACTCGGCCAAGCTACTTTAAGTCTCAAAATATTCCTAACACATTTTCCCCATGCAGAAGAAAGCCTTAGGTGAATATTTTAATGTTCTTTATAGACTTCAACTCTGTTAAAGTCAATAGAAGTAGTTCACTGACTGCAGTAAGCCTTTGACAGAGCCAGTATCCGAACTATGAGCAGAACTGACTATGGTACCCTATTTTAATATTACTGAAATACGTGAAGTAAATGGCTTGTTCTTTCCCCCTTCTGTATGCCAACTATGTTTAAAATGTAAACCTAGACTGCTGCTTATTTTGAAAAAGCAGCGATTACTCACCTTGAAAGTACAATATCGTAAGCGTGATCTTTATTCAGAGACACGGTAAAAGAACAGCCAGTTGACTTTGGATGTGAGCATTCTCCACAACCGTAAAGCTTGCTTTGATGACTGTTATCTTATTCCAAAAACACTGTGTTAAATAAAAATTAATTTCAGAACTCAAACAATATTTTATTATGGAATACAAAAATACTATCTATGTAAAAACAATAAGTTAGTTTATTTACAGTACTTTACACTATTCTGCTCTAGGGCTTCCTTTGCATTGGATTTATTTTCATTATTTTACATGCCTTTATAATTTTGCACAAAGCATTTCCAAAAGCATGTCATCCATGTTCACTGCTCCAATGATGGGCCTAAAGAATAGTTCGGCAATCACATTAGCATTAATAGATCTTAACAAGGATAGAACAACATTCAGCTTGGCAAATCTGGCTTCATCACCTCTGTGAATGAGTCTGACATGTTCATTTAGAGCTTGTTGTGCTTCCCTCTGCAGTCCTTCAATGTACTGTGTACACTGCAGTCCAGGTAGATCTGAAAAGAAAAATAAATTATTTTGCTTACTTAGGTTTTGTCTACAAAATAACAGTCTTCTTACAGAACAACTACTAACAGCTTACAGATAGTATTTATCACTCAAGGAATGAAACAAATGAAATGGCTAGAGGACTTCTTGTACGTTGAATCAACACGCCAAGTTCTACAGGGCACTTCAAAATCTTATCATGTTGGTGTTCTGGACGTTCAATAATACTCCACTACACAAACTTGAAATACAATGTTTGCCAACATTCACTTAAGTGTTAAATAGATTAGCTGATAAAACAAAAACTTTGATTGAAGAATGTTCTCCGAGACACCTGTAGAGTGACATATGCGATCTGTAAACAGTGGGGAAGACAATAAAAATAACTCGTTAACTTGTTCACTCCTACAAAATGCATCATTCACATTTGAGGCATCTTTTGGCAGCTGTTTCTGAGCAGCTCCAGATTACAGGTGGCAGGCAGCATTAACTCCAGTGTACCACAGAAAGTTTCCTGGTCAACCACAGTAAGGGTACGGAAGGACAGAGCGCGCAGGATTTCCCCTTTTCAGTCTAACCACCAGTTTGACAGTGGGAGCACATGAAGAGCCACGTCCCACTTCCACGCGGTAGCGGCACATTTCGGAACTGCCGTATCTAACCCGCCGGCTACCTTTCAGGCAGGTCACCGACACGGCCATCAATCCCTTGGCAGAGCTGCACCTGTGGAAATCTCCACAAAGAGAGTCGATGGCTAAAACCAAAAAAACCCATCATAAATGCTACAAACAGCACTTTGTTCCCGGAGCCCTGCCTTGCTCGCTTTCCACGGCGGGCAGACCTCCCGGGCACAGCACGCTGAGACCCGCCCCACACGGCCCC